AGGAAACACTGCATGGTTCAAAATTGGGAAGGGTGTATGCCAGGGATGTGGCCCATCTCCATACCTTTTCAATCTACATGCAGAACAGGTTATCTGGGAGGCGGGGCTGTGTGAGGAGATATGTGACATTGAGATGGGAGGAAGATTCATCAACAATCTGCAGATGACACAACCCTGCTTGATGAAACAGAGGAGGACTTGGAGCGCTTGCTGCAGAAGGTCAAAGACTATATCCTTCAATATGTATTGAGGCTCAAGATCAAGAAAACAAAGATTTTCACTGTTGACCTAATCGGCAGCATCAGGATGGATGGTGAAGAGATTAAGATTGTTAACAGCTTTAGTTTGCTTGACTCTGCAATCAACTCTCTTGGCACCAGCAACCAGCAAATTAAAAGACGTATTGTGGTGGGAACGTCTGCTGTTTAGAGACCTCTCCAAAGTACTGAAGAGCAATGATGTCACTCTGGAGACTAAGGTGCACCTGATACAGGCCATGGTTTTTGCAATCACTTGCTATGCATCAGAGAGCTGGATAATGACTAGAGAAATAGAAGGAGAGTTGATACCTTTGAGCTGTGTTGTTGGAGAAGGATATTGAATATATTACAAACTGCTATGAAAACGAACAGGTTCATCCTAGAGAGGATTACACCAGGCTGCTCCTTGAAGGCAAGGATTCCGAAGCTTCATCTGACATACTTTGAACATGTTGCAAGAAGATATCAGTCCTTGGAGAGGGGTGTCATGCTTGGGAGGGTGGAGTGACAGTACAGGAAAGGAAGACCCTTTATGAGGTAGATTGATTCAGGGACTGGGATAAATAGGGGTTGATGTGTCAGAGACAGTGAGATTGGCTCAGGATAGAGCAGCATTTAGGGCTGTTATACATAGGATTGCCATGAGTTGCAGGCAACTGACAGCACATAACCACAAGAAGTAAATTTATGGATTTAATGAAGTCCCTTAAAATCCTGTGTCTTCATCTTGGTTTTTTTTTTAACTTCCTGAAATTGTTTTCATACTCTTAATAATAATAGTTAACAATGAAGAAAAAAATGGAGGGAGCTCTGGTGGCCTAGTGGCAAGAAGCTGTGCTGTAATCCTGAAGGCATGTGGTTCCAGGCTACTAACTGCTCAGCAGGAGAAGGATGGGCAAGCTCCTTCTGTGCAATAAACTGCCTCTGAAAACTCGCCAGAGGCTCAGCTCTAGCTCATTTCCGACTCTGTGGTACACAACAAGGAACTTTGAAAGGAATCCTGGTTGTACAGTGGTTTTAAAGCAAGAGCTGTGGGCTTTTGTGAGGTTTTCAATCCCTACGGAGTGTTTTATCCTCTCTTATAAGGCCACTAGGATTTGGAGTTGTCTTAACGACAGTGGGTTTGCTTTTGGACTTTAACTAACTTTGGTTTAACAGTTATTACGGCTGTTTAAAAAGATATTCCTAGTCATTGCTTAAATGTGTGAGTGAGGCAGTGAATACTCAGCCCTTAGCATTGCTGCTGGTTTTAGTTACTGTCTAGTGGACTCTGACTCAAGGTGATCCCTGAAAAAAGGTCCCGCTGGTCTTTAGATGTGTCTTTGAGGAGACAGCCTTTCTATTAGCAGTTAAGCACTTAATCATGCTACCAAAACAGAAACTACCAAACCTTTTTGAATTATTTATGATTCCCAGAGATACTAAAGGTCATAGTACTGCTGCCTCATAGGAACACCAAGACTGGAATTTTTACTGGACCGGACACCTTGTCTTTCTCCCACAGAGCAGGTGGTCCTGAACCACAGACCTTTCCGACATCCTTGCAGATTATCAAATGGAGGGACTTGGGCCTCTCTAATATCTGCTACTATCAGCCCTCTTTCCTGAGGAATATTCCCAAGCAGTGCAATTCCAGAATATTTGACTAGTAACCAGGCTCCCGGGCCTTTCTCCAGTGTGCCTCTGCGGTCTCCTCTTGTTTGAATTTGTACCTCATGTCAATCTTAATATTTGTTTTGAGTCACATATGCTGGCCTCTAATTTGCAATTTACATGGCTGATGGGGCCCTATTCAGTGTCCTGCTCCTGCCGCCTTTGTGCTGTTCACCTCTCTTCATGCAGTCATTAGGCTGAACAGCATATAATTAGGTTAACTCGTGTAAACCCGGAGATTTCTGAAAGATGGTAGCGCTTTTCAAAAGTAAGGGTTTCCATTTCCCTCCCCCCTCATTCTTTTCTAAACAAAAAGACATTCTCCCCCCACAGCCCCTCCCTCCCTGGAGTTTTCATCTGAATGTCATAGTGTAGAACAGTCTGTAGGTGGGTAATAATTTGGATTTGTTTTCACTTGCGATTCAGTTTTTGTTCACACAGTCCGTGTTTAACTCAGTGTGGCCTGACCTTGATTGGCCATCCTTTGCTGATGAGTGTCTTGTTTCTGAAACCAATGAAATGAGCCTATTTTAGATCTCTGAAGGTTTAAAATTCATCCAACAAAATAATTTTGGTTTCATCTCAACTCATTGTTTCGTTTCTTTGGCTACTTGTGTGCACATAACCTACCTGATAGTACTTTTTATGACAAAACATTAAAAAAATGCTATTTAAAATGTACTTGCTAAAATTACACTGTGTTTCAGCTCTACTTGGGAAAATTTGTGATTCTAAATGTTACTTACAAACAAAATATCCTTGGTAGTAATATAAATACAATCTGTTAAGAGAGTAACTAGAAGCATATGTTGTTGTTGTTATGTGCC